TAAAAAACAAAACAAAAAAATAAAAACTTGTCCCTATTCTCTCTACTCCTTTTCCCCATCTCCCCATTCAATCCTCTTCCTCTCTTCCATCTTTCTTCTCCTTCTCTCGCAATCCTTCTCTCTCCTTCCCTGTGCTATCCCCCCTCAACTCTCTTCCATCCTCTTCCAAACCCAGCCATCCTCACCTCTCTCTTCCTCCCATCTTCCTCTCCCTTGTGGTCCCCTTCCGCTAGTGGGCCATCTTCAGCCCCGAGTTCCCCGTCCTTGCCTCCCTCCTTGTCCTCCTCCTGCTGGTGTTGATGATGGTGGTGATGATGGTGGTGGTGGTGGTGGTGGTTCGGGCGGGAAGGAGAGCTACCCTGAACGCCCGCTGCGGCTGCCGCTCCGTCGTCAGGCTCTTGCGCTGGTTCCTCCTGCTTCCCGCTCCCTTCCTGCTGCTGCGGCTCCTCCTCCTCCTCATCTTCTAGTTCTCCTTCCTCTAGTTCCCCTTCCTCCTTCTCCTCCTCTTCCTCCCCCTGTGGATTCAAGTGGCTCTCCTCCATGGCTCTGATGGGGAAGAAAGGCACCTTTGAAGAACAGGTCACAGGATATGACAATATTTGAAAAAATTATAAATAAAAAAAGAGAGAATAGCAAGGAAAAGATAAATGAAATGAAAATGGATACGTAAAAGGATAAGTTTTATTTTCTCCCATTTTTCATGAATCTTGCAGATTCGTATATCTAACATTCTTTTATGATTTCAGAGACGAAAATATTTAATATAATCAATTTCATGAACTTTCTCCTGAGGAAAGAAGGAAGGAAGGAAGGAAGGAAGGAAGGAAGGAAGGAAGGAAGGAAAGGAAGGAAGGAAGGAAGGAAGGAAGGAAGGAAGGAAGGAAGGAAGGAAGGAGAGAGAGAGAGAGAGAGAGAGAGAGAGAGAGAGAGAGAGAGAGAGAGAGAGAGAGAGAGAGAGAGAGAGAGAGAGAGAGAGAGAGAGAGAGGCCTGTAGACCACTAAACATAAATGAATGGATAATATGAGATAATAGAGGGAGGCATATTTGACATTATCTGTGGTTATGTAGATATACACTAGTATGCAAAACAAACTGACAGATAAGAGAACAAATAAGCCCACAAAGTCAAATAAGTGGCTAGCTTAAAAAGACAAAGGAATATAAAACTGTTTCTATAAACCAATAGAATATAAACAGGTTATTACAAAAAAAAATGGTTCTATAAACCGAAAACAAGACAGATATGACTACTAAGCATAAAAAATCATTGGCGCGAGGATAAACAAAACGAAATGACAGACTGATAACAAGAGGCAACTATCGAAATGATAAATACAAGTAACAAATTATAAATGAATACAGAGAGAAGACTAAAACCAAACATAACTAATATTAAGAGTAAATAATACACAAAAATCAACAAATAGACAACATGGACAGCATTAAGGATAAATAAAATATCGATGACTGAAGATAAAGAACTGCCTACAAAAAAAAAAAAAAAACACTGATAACTACTGGTAAACAATGATAAAAAAATAAATAAATATATAATAGACTGATGACTTGATACAAAAAATAGAAATAAAACACAACAGACTGATGACCAGGTTAACAAAAACACAAAATAGTTTTGGAAAGATAATGCAGATGAACAGATACAGAAAGACAGAAATAGAAAATAGACGAAGGGATAAAGCTTAAACGCAAAACACACGAAAACAAACCCATGAATACAGATAAACAGCTGAATATAGGCAAAATGGCCCCATATCCAAGCCACCAGACAGATGTAAACAAAGAGACACCAAAACAGAGATAAAAACAGACAAAATAATACACATAAGCAGACATATAGAGCTAAAAGATAAGCTAGGATAGACAAAAAGGCTAATAAATGAATAATAAAAAAGAGAGAGCAAAAAGACTGACAGACAGACAAAAAAGTCAGTTAATCAGCTGATTATTCAGTCAGCAAACCAGTTTAGACTAAAAGATTGGATAAAGTATTTAAATGGATTTAATAAATTATACATTGATGCCCAGATATACCTAGACAGATAAATTGATTGTCTGATAGATATGAATACTGATAGATAGACAGATCAACTGATAAAATGACAGATAGAAGTAGCAGACAATTGAAATAAAGATGTAGTAAAATACAAGGAAATGGAGAGAGATAGACAGCTGATACAGAGAAACGACGTCAACAGCGAAGACTAAACCCAAGAAAGAATAACTTCATCAAAGAAATAGATCGTGGGACAATTTCCATCTCAAATTTACAACGCTGTAAAAATGGCGACTTTCAACCTCAATATCAAACTCCTATTTCTTCCCTATCTAAAGTCTAAACACAAATAAAACGCACATAAATTGCCAAATAGAACAAAAGTCCCAATAAAATGTAAGAAATAAGATTCTATTTTAACTATTATCAGGCTCCAGTTATGTAGCAAGTTTTCGTTCGGATTCCTAGCGCGACTCCGACTTCGG